GATCCGTACCAAGCTTATCTCATGTTTCGTTAAGTTTAGCTCAAGTTTTGTACCAGTCTTAGCTCAAGATTCGAAACAGATTTAGCTCATGTTTCGTACCAAGCTTAGCACAAGTTTTATATCAGGCAGAGCTCAAGATTCGAAACAAATTTAGCTCATGTTTCGTACCAAGCTTAGCACAAGTTTCATATCAGGCAGAGCTCAAGTATCATACCAGGCTTAGCTCATGTTTCGAACAAGGCTCGCTCAGGTTTTTTTTCCAGGCGCATGAGCATACAAAACCCGTCCACTCAGATCCAAGAAATAAGACAAATGGTTTGTACAAAATTAAATTGGTCATCTGGTAAGAATGCCTGTCAAACCAACCTGCCTTGCAAGCCTACAATCGCATGCACTCCGATTTCAGGGTCAGTTGAAAGGCGACGCCTGAAGTGGGTCGGCTGTGTGAAGGACACCATCAGCAGGCCTCACACTCAGTAGCTGATCGCCAAATGAACCTTCAGCAACGACCAACGCCTTAAGAAGCGGACAGGAGAAGATATTAATTGTGTACCAGTACATAAAAAGAAAAGCAGCATTTGTATTTCTGAGAAAAAGAACTTGTGTGTGGTTTGAAGGTAGTTGCCTTGACCTTGTTAATCAGAGTGGAACAATCGGTGGCAATTTCATATCCAGAGAGAGAGAGAGAGATCACAAGCACACAACAGACCTCCATTTTTATACAAAGTTTACCTAGACCAGCGCTAGAGGAGGCTCCCATTTTCTCTATGACCATGTTGTACGTGATCTGCAAATAATTTCGTTGAGCAATAAATTTGTATTCTATCCAGAAATAATATATCAAAATAGGCTTGGTAATTATTTAGTCAAATGTTTAAAAATGCTCTTAAAAATGTGTGATGGTACGGTACAACTGCGTAAAGGCTAACACAAGAGGCACGTGTTTAAAAAAAAAATTGTGAAATGTAAACTCAATAATATATATTTAATTATGAAGTGTAATATGACTTGGGCTCAATGAATATAAAAGAACTATAGTTTCACACTATGTTAGGTACATTTGACATGTGCTTTAAAATATTAATTTACACATAAATTTATAGATTTTTAAAAAAAATTGCTACTATTATTATTCTATGTTGTTGTTGCTACTTTTGTTTTTGTTTCTAAATTGATTGTTGATGTTTAAAAAAAAAATTATAATACTTATCATTTAGAAATTAACATTTCTTTTAAAAATACTTACCTTATAATTTAAAATCGTTTCAAAGCTTTTTCCTTACAATTAACGTAAACAAAAAAAAAAAAAAAACAACAACAACTGAAAAAGCTTTTTTCAACTTTTTCTGTCCTTTTTATTTATTTCGAATTTCTCACAGCATTTTATATTGACGTACACATTTTTTCAGCCATAGTTTGATGTTGAAAAAATTGTGTACTTATTCCAATATTTAATGAACGAACTATCTGGCAGACTGAATTCTTTTCTTTCATTGAGAGAAAAAAAACAACAAAAACTGACTGAATCGGAACACGTGTGTCCCACGACCAGGTCCATGCGCACCAACCTGAGTGTATTGCTTGTTCAGCTCCTGCACAGCTTCTACGAAATTTTGCCCCATTTTCTGACGTATGTAGGCGCATTTCGGAAACCATCTGGCGTGCTCCACCAGGACATCGTCCTCGTCCTCCCAGTTCCTCAGACCACCCCCGCAGTAGAAACACCTGGCACAGTCACCGTAACCTGAATTGCCCACACACAAATTGAATAATAATAAAATTTTCTTGGCATAGGAAGTCTGTATCTCGCGTTTAGCAAGTAGGACATTGTGTAAACAAATGGGGCATCGTATTTAGAAGCAGGACACTGTGTTAACAAAGAGAACATCGATCTAACAAGTAGGACAATGTGTTAACAATCAGGACATTCGGATTTGATGTTCATCTAAATATTTTGATTTTTTATCATTTTGAAAATTCTTTAAAGCTATTTGCATTGCATCAGACACAAAGAGGTTTTCGCTTACGTATAAACCAATTATAAATACTTATATATATATATATATATATATATATATATATATATATATATATATATATATATATATATATATATATATATATATATAT